ATGGCTACAAATCAAGCGCGAAGACCTCAAGGACGACGCACTCCAACACCGCAGCGGGAACCCCTACGACTTCATGAACGACGAGCTATACAAGCAATGCACCCTCGCAGTACGAGGACAAGAAAACAAGCTCGACGAGAATACGAAGAGGGCAATACTCCACAACATACCACGAGTACTAGCAAAGGTCGTCCACGTCGGCTGCCCACTCGAAAAGCAGAAGAAGTGGGTGAAACACGCGATCAGATCAGCGCTCAAGAGCGCCGATAAACCCATGAGCGGGCTAGCAGCGACGATGCCAATGAAGAAACCAGGCTACGACTGGTTCATAGCAATCCTCACTAGAGAGGCGTACGACGTGCTCAAAGACCTCAGGGCCCTTTTCGATCCACGCTCCAATACACTAGTCCTCCTGCGACAATGGAAACTCCGGCCAGACGCAACACAAACATTACGATACGAAGGAATCGTCACCAAAGAGGACTTCATCGAAGGGGAGATAGAAGCAGTGACCAACAATTTCAAGGACGAGCTTGAAGAAGAACTGAAGAAAGGCGCAGAGCTTGGAGGCATCCAGCTGACCAAGATAGTGCACCTCAAGAAGGAGCCACCCACGTCCACCCTTGTCACCTTCAGCATCTCCGGCGCGCACGTGCCCCAGCTGATCCAACCCTGGAACCTCCCAAAGAAGTTCATCGTGGGCCAAGCAACACGACGAGATATCCGGGCCTACTGGCCGGCAAAGTGCAACCTTTGCCACTCAGAAGGACATCTCGAAGCAGAGGTATGCCCATGGACCAAACTTGACCTCGGCAAGGACGCCAAGATCAGCACAACCAACGCAAAGATTCTCGAACCTGGACAACAGGAACGAAAGAAGCGGAAGAGGGAAGGTGATGATGAACCTATTACGTCATGGCTCGAGGATGCACGGCCCATTAAGCGAATGAAGAAGGCGACAGGCAAGGAGAAGGAGCAGAACTTGACAGGTGCAGACACAGAGAATGGAGACAGAATGGCCACAGACTAACCCAACTACCGAGAGCTCTCGATGAACAAACAAGGTTACCATTATGTAACAATTACTTAGATAGTGATACATGGGACAGGTTCCCCATTATGACTGACCATACATGCGCCCCAAAACCACCATGCTAGCCCCAAAATCTCAGAAAAATAACCCAGAAAATGCGAACTCTACAAAACAAAAACAGAA